TCCATATTAAAATGTAAGATAGTGACATGGTCTTTGTAATTAAGATTGCTGCTTTTTTAAATCTCTTTATGTAAAGCAATCCCATCCATCTTTTGAAGCTGCCACAGACTAAATTTAAAAATACATTCTGAATCTAAAAACACATTCTGGTATTAAGAAAATTATGGCTTACATTGTGTGTATGTGTGTGCATACATGTGTGTGCATAAGTGTACATGTATGTACATGTCTAAATTCTTACACTGTATGGAAATCACACATTGGAAGATGAAAAGAAGCTAGTATCATATACTCAGAATCATTAGACAAAATTGGCATGTTATAATAAACAAAATTCAGAAACTGGAATTTAGCATTACATCATAATAATTTTAAAATCAGAAATTTAAAATATGGATACTTTTGCACAAAAGTTACTGTACCCATGTGGATTTTAGCTGTCTTTTTCCTTTCAGTTTTGGCTTTCATGCCATCCCAAATAATCTCTAAAATACAAAGAAAGAAATGATATTAGCTGTTGTCTGTCATTGTTCAATTCTATTATATTGAGTTTACAGGAATGGATAGGACTATGTTTTTGTTGCTATATTTCCACACATATGATTTTCTGAAATGCCACCTCTGTATAGAGTCAAGTTGGTTTGTTTTCTTTCCTTATGATACAAATATCAGAATATCATTGATTTAGAAGAAATTACATTTTAAGTAATAAAAGAGAAATTTCCCCTAATTATTTTGTTTGTATCTTGTCAGAACAGATGTCAGTTCTCCTGGGTTTAGTTCCCCAAAGAAAGAATTTAAATGTGTAACAAACAACATGGTTATGAATATAGTTTCAGGGTGCGAATCTTCCACAGGGCATTGCAAACTTCCATCAACGTTTTTGATGATTTTAAAAATATTAATTGCGTCCTTAATTAAATTGTTTGGAAATTTTACACATTGCCTACAAAGGAACAGAAACAGAAAAGGAACATTTCAATTTTGAGGGAGCTTGTGCAAGTAGTCTATCAGTAATGGCAAGAAAGTAATCAGTTTATGATGTACAACAAGGAAATCTGGCTTTTGGTGAGTATGATCAATGTTGGGAATATTTCATTGTCATATGATATATACTGAAATCTGCAAAAAAAAAAATTAGGGGGGATAAATATAGGTTAGCAGTGGATGAGTATTATCAACTTAGTTTAGCTAATGGATGTTCAAGGTTAGAAATTCTCCTTTGACTATTCTTAGTATTGTTTTACTGAATTTGAAGATATGTCTGTAAACACTATATTAAATACAATGTGTGTAGTGGTTTTAAATGAAATGTTGAATGCAAGCTTTCCCTCTAAAGTTTAATCAACTCATGAAAAATAAGGTGAAAGACATAGTCATAAATAACAAATGAAACAGAAAGAGATGCACATCATTTTGTAAATATGGCGATGATCTAGATGCAAAAGAAAATAGACGAGGAGAAAATAGTGACATTTGGAATATCCATTAATGTTTTCTAGGAAGATCCATCTAGGAAATGTAAAGCAATCCCATCCATCTTTTGAATCCCATCCATCTTTTGTTATTCACACAGAATATGATACAAAACGCTAGAAGATAAATGGGACAATCTCAGTGGGTTAAAATAATATATGTTTTATAGAATCAAATTTTAAAATACTGCTGTCAATTGGGCATTTCATTAGCAACAGAATACTGATACACTACCTGGACAACATTGTAGAAACCCACATAAGACACTCTGCAGTTTCAAGTGTTTTGTATGAGAGTGCTACCACGAGCACTTCAGTTATTGCATTTGGTGCTCAAGAACAGTTACACTGGCACATAGCAGGCTGCGAGGAACCAGCATATCTAACCATGGCGGGTGACCATGAGAATGAAGGAGAAGGCAATTTTGAAATTTTTCATTATTTTTCATTTTCCTGACCATAACTTGAGATTATAACAGTGACTGCAGAACAAGGTGCTGATGTTATATCTCAGGAAAATGAAGCCAGTGTATCACCGAATGGTGAAACCAACCCGTTTGAAATAAAGACATGAAAATTATTTTATTAAAAACCAAAAGTATTATATAATATAATACATTAGATCTATTTTTCTAATGCCATAAATATAATTATGGAGAGTTCAAACCCAGTATATCCATGGTACACAACATAAATAATCCAAACAATGTGTTGACTGTTTTTTTAATGAAATGATCACCATGACAGTACTTCTGCAATTACTGAACTCTGTTTCCATTCTTCAGTCCTGTTGTAATTGCAAAACAGTAAGTATGCAGTGGAGACCTTGCTCTCCAAATTGAGAGATGCATAAAGAAGATCATCTTTAAATTCTTTCTTCTCTGCCACATTGCAATGGCTCTTAGTACTTATTAAATTAAAATCATATGGTAACTACACTAAGAGTAGTTTTCCAGAGATGAGATGAAAGATAATTTAATAAAGGGTCCAAAAACTGCCCATATTATAATGGAGAACGTAAGAGTGGAATGGTCACTGATTATCAGTAGTATTAGGAGTAACTGAAATTGTAGTGAAGGGTTCTAGACAGAAAGCCCCATATAAAAGGCAAGAAATGTCACCCATCCAGCTAGAATGAAAGGACGTTCAATGAACAATGGAAATGAGAGAATCTACCAGGGTATGATGCGTAATAATAAATGCACCATCTGGAACTTTGTCTCAAAGTTGTCAGCATAAAATCATAGAGTGCATGGCTTAGTGGTAATCTATGGGCAGAGTTTAGCATAGTATTAAATTGAGCTAAGTTTATAAATTTAACCTGAGCTTCTAAGACAGACATAGAGCAAGTAACAGAAGTTAACTGAATGTTTTCTACCTGGAGCTGGAAGAGTTTCTTGGAATAGTGAGCCTGGCTCTTAGCTTAGTGGACCTCAGTTTATGAATTTAATTTGTGTAGGGTTTTGAAGAACATGGCTGCATTTGTGCTTGTGCAAGGAAGATGGCCATGGTTGTGTTTGTCAACCGATGATTGATGAACTGGAGCAAAATTTTGCCCAGTACTTTTGTTTATGAACAGAATTGCTTGCAAACAGAAGCTTTCCTTTCGTGAACCAAGGTATTACTTTATCAGCTCAGAAAGATTGCTGTGCCAAGAAATTGACTCTGCAAGACATTTTTGAACTATTGTAAGAAGTAAATGACTGAACAAACAAACAAAAAAGTCAACATTTTACCTAGGAAAAAAAAGACGAAGACAAATACTCTATATTATGAAAGTGAAAGATGCTAAAAATAACTTCTCAAACTGAAACGTGTCTATTGGGACCTAAAACTGAAAGAACATTCAATATTATCAGAAAAATTAAGACTGATGTTCAAATATAGAATTGATTGTGTGATTAGTGCTTTGGTTTCTTTCTGTGATTAGCTCTGTGGTTTTTTTCCAAAGATTATTAGATGTGCAGGCAGGAATTTTAATGTATGGAATGCACAGTACAGGTTTTGGTAATCAAGATTGAATTCAAGGCCTATGAAAACATCTAAGAATATTTTGCTGTCAAACTGTGTCAAGTGTTCTTTAGACCTTGGTTTGGAGGCTACTGGAATGGTTGCTTTCTTACTAGTAGACACTGTATGATCTGAGCATTCAGAAGCTCTGTTTCCATGCCAATGTCAGAGACTTTCTGATACGGTGGTTTCATCGGGCATCCTTACAATAGACACAGGCTTTGACCAACTCTGAACGCACATGGCTGTAACCCGATAAAAGCAATCTAATTACCTGAATATAAAGACAAAATTTCTTCTATACACACATGTAACAGACCGAATAACACTCACAAAGGTCCACCCCATGCCCTGTGTCATGGATGATGTGATGGGAGTGCTGGTTCTCTGTACCTGGGGATGGCAGTGGTAGGTTTCATTCACAGGAGACTCTCAGTTGCTACGGCAAGACCGCAAGTGGAGCCAGTTTTCAGATGTGCACAAGATGCACACAGGATATTTATTGGGTCTTCACAACCGCTTACAGAATCAGTGATTTATTCAGATATGGAACACATAATAACCAAGCTCCTAATGGCATATGGAACTATAACATTTATGTATTTGAATCTTATACACTGCATTCATACTTGGCCACCACACCCAAGTCTGCAGCTTGAAGAAAGCATTCTGATTGTTTTATAAGAGTCAGTAGTTCTTATACTACCCTGTTTATATAGTTTATTATTTCTCATAAGTTGTTTCTTTCTGTTTAATATGATGTGTACTACAAGCCAACCACATAACCAACAGAAGGTGATCAATATTAAACTTTTAAGGATATCTTCAATATAGTACATCAGATTTTCATATTTATCGTTTAAAGTATATCTGTAACCATATAGTAGATATAAAGGTGAGGTAACATCAGCATTGTTAGGAGTATTAATTGAACCACTTAAAGATTGCCTTAAGAAGATGTTTTAACAGTTCTTTATAGTAGTATATGCCTAGAAAGGAAGAAATTCAGTATATCACTAGAGACCTGGGAATATCAGACAAGATATATTTGTCCTCCATCAATATTATTTATTATACTTTTGCATGTGTTAAAATATTTGATCTTTTCAAAGACTCCATATCCATAGTCACATGGCTACTAGGATTCGCTTAATGTGTGTTTGAGTTTGCTCTATGTCTCCTCTGATTTCTTCAAAATATGTTTTATCCAGATTATCTTATTTTCTATTTATATTTACTATTTTTACATATAATACTGTTTATACTATTATGTTTTACATTTTCATAGATAAGAAGTTTGAGTTGCTAATGAACAAAGTTGATTCCCCAGCGCAAAAAGGGGCCAAATACCACTCGGAAGGGAAGCAGCGCCTCCCGGGTGCCGGTGGACCGCACTTATCCTCAGTGCTTCACATTGAGCCTCTGCCCAGCTTCTCCCAACCAACTGCCTCAAGCTCTGCTGCAGAGTTTTCTTCTACTCCTTCCACTTTATCTACTTTTTCCTCATTAACCATTATGCTGTTAAATCTGGGAAATCGGAGCTCTGTGACCTCTTTCATCCTGGTGGGGTTCTCAGAATACCCTCACCTCCAGGCACCCCTCTTCCTGGTGTTCCTGACCATCTACACGGTCACCCTGCTGGGGAACCTGGGCATAATAGTGGTCAGAAAGATCAACCCCAAACTCCATACGCCCATGTACTTTTTCCTCAGCCACCTCTCCTTCTTGGACATTTGTTACTCCAGTGTGTTCACACCCAGGCTGTTAGAAATCCTGGTTGTGGAGGACAGAAGCATCTCCTTCAGAGGATGCATGACACAATTTTTCTTCGGCTGTGCATGTGTGATTACGGAGATGTTTATGCTGGCAGTGATGGCCTATGACCGGTTCGTGGCTGTCTGTAACCCCCTGCTCTACACGGTGGCTATGTCTCCTAAGCTCTGCGCTCTCCTGGTAGCAGAGACTTATATGTGGGGTGGCCTCTGTTTCTTGACAATCACACATTCACTTGTGCAGCTGTCCTACTGTGAGTCCAACATCATAAATCACTTTGGCTGTGAGTACTCCTCTGTCCTCTCTGTGTCCTGCTCAGACCCCTCCTTCAGCCAGATGATATGTTTTATAATTTCTATAGCCACTGAAGCTTGCAGCCTCCTGATCACCCTGGCCTCTTCTGTGGTAATAGTTGTAACTATCATCAGGATGCCCTCCAAGGGTGGGCTGCAAAAAGCCTTCTCAACCTGCACCTCCCACCTCACGGCCATCGGCATCTTCCACGGCATCATCGTCCTTCTCTACTGTGTGCCCAGCTCCAAGAGCTCCTGGCTACTGGTCAAAGTGGCTACTGTGCTTTTTACAGTCATGATCCCCATACCGAATCCCCTCATCTACAGCCTCAGGAACAAGGATGTGAAAGACACGGTCAGGAGGCTAATCTACTCCAAACTGCATTCTCCATCCACATGATTCAAACTGATGTGGGTTTATTTATGCCTTAATTACATCTCACATTTTCATATACTTTATTGTTGATAGGTTAGTGAATTTTATGATAATCCATTAAAAATTTTAAATATGTGATAGTTTTCAGTGTTTAGAATAACATTTTTTCTCTGGTTTGATACAATATAATGAATGCACTCATCCATTTCATCTGAATGTTTGAATTAATTCTATTACAGCATCACCCAATCAGACACTGTAGAAGCAACAGTGAAGAAATGTGGATATAGGAATTCATTCTTTATGCTATGATGGCTTTACTCTAAATTGTGCCTAATGAAGGTTTAGTGACCACAGATGGTACCTGGCTTTACTGGATTCATACTGAACACCACAGAGCTCGTAATTTTACTCAGCAAATCCTAGAAAACATATGCTCTCTTTCATTGTGATATTACATTTCAAATAAAATGAGGTCCTTGACCTTTTATTATGAAAACTTGGCCTGAGTTTCAGCAAAACAATTTTTAAAATATTAGATGCTGTCTCTATGCATCACTTGTTTTTTTTCCTTATATTTCAATAATTGCTGTTGAACTATTGCTGATAATCATGGATAAAATTCCACTCACTTGGTGTCATACTTATACCAATTATTTACTGACACAAAAGCATAATCATTAAATTTCTACCTCTTATTTCACATTGTTCTTGTCCATTTATCTACTCATCAGCAACTGACATTTATCTCCTCAGAGTTGCTTTAACAAAGGAGAAACTTTTATATATCATCCACAGTTTTTCATAAGGCTATCATTAACTCATATGCTTCACATCTGCAATATTGACTAGGTCTTCATGCTTTTGTTCAGTGAGCTACCTCATAAAGTCGATCCATAGTAGTTAATCCAAAATTAGCCTATTTTCCCTAAAATTCTGTCAGTATTTCATCGTTATCACTGCTTTTTAAGAAATGTAATATCTGTTTGTCTCCCCAAATTACTATCAAGAGATTCTATTTTATATATTAAAATACATATGAAAATAAATCTATTTGCTAAATGTGAATTTCAATAATCTCTGGTGTCTTCAATTAAATTTTAACACACTTGTTAAATGAACATTTAAGTCCTAAGTAGAGCAATAGAGAGAAAATTTCCATCCCCCAAAATTACTTTCTGCCAACTTTCAGCAACAGTGAAAATAAGATTCTTATCATACTAATACACTTGTTTATCTACAGAGTTTTTTACCTAAAGATATCGATCACTAAATGCCACTTATTTTCTATTGACAAGCTAATGGAATGAAATATTGTGGTATTTTTTTCACCTATAATGCTTTATAAATGGCCAATATGTCTTTATTGAAATTGCATTTATTTCATAGTGATGTTAATGTATCTCTTATTTAGTATATTTATTTAATATAAATATAAACATCATATAAATATTCCAGAAATCATTTCAGGACAAGTTTATTTTAAAATATTAAAAATTATGTAAATGTAACTATCCTTTATAATATCTTTTATTTAAAAGGTAAGCACAGTTCTGAAGTCTGGATTAATCACCAAACTTGATTGAAAGATTTAAAAAAATAAAATAATATAAAAGCAAGCAAAAGAAAGTATATGGCCTGGAAACTGATATGACAATGTGAGTGTGATGAGAATGTGAAGAACAGATATGTAATGATTTTTGTAAAAGTAACTTGATGAATACATCCAACAAAATAGAACATGCTTTCTGCTTGAGAGATTGGGAGTGCTGAGTGCCTGGACAGAAGGACTAGCAATAGAAAGTTGCTATGTAGACCTGTGACATGTGGAAATGCTGTGGGAAGGGCTTGAATTTTAGTGCTTTGTGAAGAAAGTCACACAAAAAATATGTAAGAACTTGAGCACAGCTCTAAAATAAAATTCAAAGGAAATTAATCAAACAGATGGGAGTAGACAGGCCAAATAATATGTATTTTTATATAGTGAACTATGTGGTTTGTAACATGGGAATCCAGGCAGGAGCATATTTTGAAGAGTGCTTTTGTTTGTTTTTTGTTTTGGTTTGTTTTTTTCTTCTGTTGTCTTTTTGAGACAGGGTCTCTCTATGCAGTTCAGGTGGGATTTGAACTCACTTTGAAGCCCAGGCTGGTCTCAAACTCACAACAAATGCCTGGCCAAAAGGACATAATGATGTAGTAATAACAGTGGCAATTGAAACAATCATAAGGGTGATTATTTAACACAGGCAAGATTATTGTATTTACATAGAAGAGGACAGAAGATTCAGAGAGGTTTGACAACTCATCAGATTCGCATATCAAGGTGGATAAAACATGATTTGCACTCAGGTTGAGAGATCCCAATTAAAATCTCTACAAAGGGTCATAATTATTTTGAAAAAAATAACATAACTTACTAACAAAGTGTATCTAGATTCCCAAATCAATACCAATATGTAGGACCAAGCTTGTCTGATTATACAATATAAGACTGACAAAGCTGAAGGACATGTCATGTAGAAAGTCAAGGGCAATATTGAAAACAGAAGAGAGGGTTTAAACAGCGCTGCAAACGCAATAGAAATAAATGTAAAATGCTAACCTCTAAGAAAACTCAGATTGCATTTTGTAAGAAATCGAATATATGTGTCCTGAAGTCACTTCTTACCAGTAACAGAGAAACAGGGTTTAGGGATATCAGTCCACTAAACATGATCTAACTGTCACATTTGATTACAGCTGTGTTTCTATGCTGAATATTCTTGGGTCTGAATGTCACGTTCCAGTTCAAATGGGTCAGAGCACACAAAAGATATTATGAGTAGAAGGCAGTTCAAAAGAGTTAGTGAGCTGTATAGAGGTGTGGGCTTCATTTTGAGGAGCCTATAAGAAATCTAGGAAAATTTAAACTGTAAAAGATGTTGGCAATAAAATATTATATAAAAATATGTGCTAAATTATCATTTGTAGCAATGGACATCTTCCTATGTAATGTGAATGGGCAGAATCAGGACAATATAGAACTCTGAGGAGGTGCTCTATGCGAAAGAAAACATGAAGAGAAAATATTGATGAACTCAGAAATGTCAAAACACACACATCTCTGTGCCTTTCATGTCTGCTCAGGTTGGCCTGCTTCTGCCTCACAGACTGTCACTGCTTGGCCTGTGCTATTTAAATTCTATAGAAAACAGAATAGCTTATGAAACTCAAGTTCTATGTCGAATATTTTGGTTCTAATAGTGATTTATATTTTGACATTCCTAATCTTCAAGAATGTGTCCAATAAGGTAGCTCATGTCCCTGCATTTAAAGAGAAGCCCATTGTTACCAATGGGAACAATAAGAGATTCCAAGGATGTGGCACACGGTAAGCGTATACCCATGACCGTGGTGCGCTCTGAGAAGATTCCAAGAGTTTCTTTCTTCATTTCAGACCAGGTTAAAAATTGTTGTAGTTTTCAATGTGTAAACATAAGCCTTGTAAACATTTACTTGTTTCCAAACTCACATTTAAAGTTGATTACTTCTTCCTATGTCTGTGATTATATCTTATAGCATACCATACAAACTGGGACCCTACACATTCAGGGAGTTCATTTGTTATGGTATAATTTCATTGAATAGTTTTGTGTTACTGCACATTTTGTGATTCATAATTGCTTAAAAATCCAATATTTTTCATATATATATATATAAACAGATATATATATATACACACACATATATATAATATCTCAAGCGAGATAAATAATGCTTAAAATTTAAGAAAGTAGTAAGCTTAAGTACTTAAGCAATTTAATGACATTTTAGAGACTTTCATCATGCTACTATAGCAAGAACAGCAGTGAGATTATCAATACTATTTGACCAGACAGCTGGTAGCTTGAGATGTTCAAATGGAGAGTTCTATAAAGCACTGAATATTTCTGGAAAACACAACACTAAAATATTTTCACATCATTGACAATGACTGCTCAGCACTGCTTTAACTGAGGAAATATACTTCTGCTATTCTCTGGGTATAAAAAATACTCACCAAGAAGTACAACTCATACTTGCAGGTCGTGTACAGCCTCCTGTGTTGCTCCATCCTATTCTCATGTTCTAAGAGGTGCTTCCTGTCTTCGTTCTTTCCTTCTACTTCCCCAAGCATTGACTAAAATTTGAGTGTTTATGTCAATGTATAATTACTGAGCTTTGAACAAGGGTCAAACACTTGTGCACCTTCAAACACATATATATGTGTGATTTTCAGAAGAAATGTATGATATAACCACTGTTTTTTGTTTCATAGATGAGGTAAATGAATCACTAATTGATTCATTTAATGGACAAAAGAATATTCCATGTTCCAGCATTTCAGAGGTGGACAATGCCTCCAATCATGCAGAGAAAAGCCAAAATGGAAAGCGTGAATGTGTTTCTGTTTTCTCACACCTGAACGTTTTGTCCTTGGGAGCTGCCTTGCATTCCCTGGTCCCCTCTGCTGCACTAGGCTGCTGAAGATGAAATCACTGGCATGTTGCAACAGGAGCCGCGTGTGGAACAAGGGAAATCAGAGTGCCAGCATCACTTCTCTCCTGCTAGGCTTCTCGGAATACCCGAACCTGCAGGGGCCCCTCTTCCTCGGTTTCCTGGGCATGCACAACTTTCTTTGTTGAGAAACCTCTGGATGGTTGTGATCATCAGGACTAACCCCCAAACTCCATGTTCCCAAGTACTTTTTCCTCAGACAATCCTTTCCTGATTTTTGTTATCATGAAGCAGTAACTTTTGTAGCGGTTAAATGAAATTTTATAATCTCCTGTTTCCCATTAGGTCCTGTTACGTCCAAGCAGAGTTACCGGCACATGGACTGTCTCAGCTTGACAAACTGCCCGTGTCCTCCTTCTGGCCACCCACAAGTTCCATGCCAAAGTCCAACTCTCTACACCAAATGCGTGAAAGCGGGAAACTGTCCTTTGGCCTCCATTCAGCCATTTTGGATTTATTTATCAGTTGTGCCAACGTACAGCTAAAAGTAGAGTTTCCCATTGGTCTCTCCTGTCTCTTAAATACTGTAACAGTTCCTCTGTATTGTAGCAGACCGGAAACGGAAATAAAAGACACAAACGTTAATATAATCAATCCAGTGTAAAATCCAAAATGAGTCTGGTGGCAGCAGGCTTTACCGCAGGTTTGGAGATCTCCTCTGTCCATGGCAAGCACAATGGTGTCTCATGACCTGTTGAAACACATGCATACCCTGGCTCCCATGTTATTAACTGCACTGGGCCGTCCTATGTTCCTGTTTGAATGTCCCTTCACAGGATTTCAGCCCTAGATATGCTTGCTGATTTGTCTTTTTCCAACAAAGTTCTGATGCACCACCTTTACATTTTGCAAACAGATTTTTAAAAGTTTAAGTACCAAAGTTTAATGATGTTTGTGAGGGGCAACTGTACACCTCCTTATTGTTTATTCAATTGATTTTTAAGTGATAGATGTGCTCTTTCTCTTAGTGAATGTGGCTTTGGCCATAATTGTTTTTTTGTGTTGCGGGCCAAGTCTGGTCTAACTGCCTGTAATATTTACAAGCAACTTAACTGTCTAAAATATTTCTCACTCTGAAGAGCTCTTTCTTACTGCAGTTAGGGGAGACTGGGATGGAAAGTCCAGGACTCACTGCTGGCACATGCTCAGGGAGCTCAATAGTATACCAAATATGTCTGGTAGAATCAATGAGAGGTATATAAACCAGACTAAGTAAATAAAAATGAAATGGACAAAATGATTAAAATATTCACCCATGAAAAACCAAAAAAGATCAAAGTCTTGAAAATATCTGCAAGTTTATGTGAGCATAAATAGGCTTTTATATTTTCTTTGAACTACTGAATTAGAAGATATCTATTAGAACAGAAAAATTTGTATAATGTCAGCATTAGCAGGAACATCATAAAATAATTTAGAACTGACTGTGATGATTACTCTCTTGGCTTCTATCACTAACTTTATAGACAGAACACTGGATGTGCAGACAGATTTAATCTGAGGAATGAAAAAGTAGAAATATTGCTAATAAGGACCGAATACAAAGCATGGGGAAATTATTAGTGATTCCTTGCTTTCAAAGTGTGATAAGAGCCGGGGGTGTGTCTCAGTGGAAGAGCCCTTTCCCTGCATGCACAAGGCCCTGGGTTTGATTAAAAAATTAAAAATAAAGTGTGTCATGTGGTTTTGATCTTGGTTGAGAGATTTAGAAAGATCACGCAGGTTATCTCAGGCAAAGTGTGTTCTAACCACTCTAAATTTCTTTCTCCAAGCTGGGTTGTAGAACCTAAGACTGCTCTGTGACTGTCTGTAACCCCTGCACTACACAGTTGCTACGTCTCACAAGCTCTGTGCTCTCCTGGTGGCTGGAATTATCTATGGGTACCATATGCTTCTTTGGCTAGGGAACCCTTTGGTTATACCCCCCTTAGAAAGTCTACAGCGTGGTAAAGGTCAGCAACTAGAACTCATTCTAACTTACTTTTTAAAAGGTGGTAAACAGAATATATTTAGGTATCTATGAAGTACTATTGGTAGTAAAAATTATTGATTCTGAATGTCTCCTTAATAAGTGTTTAGTAATACATTATATTATTATGTTGAAAAGGAATCATACCATGTAGTCTTTAAAAAGTTTGGTCACTTTTCTAAGTATATATAAGTACATTTTATCTTTTCTTGTATCTCCAAAATAGGATTTTACTGAAACATTTTTCAAGAAATGCCCAAAAGGTAAAATTTGACATATTTACATAAAACAGTAATGTGTATCTATGTTATAAGTGAGTATATGAATGCATTACCTTTTCTTGAGAGTAAAATAATGGAGCTGGCAGTGGTTACCACATCTTGTAAAAATGATGAGTTGAAGAGCAGCGTGTTGGATACTTTTAAAAAATATACTATCTTTTGAATCACAGTATTCAAATGTATTATCTAAAGAAGGACCATTGTGCTTCTTAACCATACATTATATTAAAAATGTATTTGTGTTTGAAAAAATTGATATCATTTTCCATTTCATAATCAATAATGTGTCTGAAATTTTATGGCCACCAAGTGTCTGTCTTTATATATGTCTTTCTCACTTTGTGTGGAGATTGAGACATATATCAGTATAGATTGAGATATATATCAGTACAGGCTGAGATATATATCAGTATATATACACGCAGGTATATAACTAGATAGATAGCTACATACATAGGTATGGATACAGAAGAAAACACAAAATATAGATAGCACATATATTAGTGTCTATTTAGATATTTAATCTTTGATGAAGATTATACAGATTATATATATATATATATATATCCAATACCTTTACATCTTAAGTACCACTTTATATCATACATATAAAAATGAACTATGTTATCAAGATTTCTCTTGATATGTTGAAATGTTAAAATATTATCAAGATTTCTCTTCATTCATCATATTTCTCTTGAAATGTTACCAAGATTTCTCTTCATTCTTTTATTACATAATTTCAACAAATTATTATTGCCTGCTTTGAACCATAATGTGGTATACTATTTAACACCAACAACTATTGTACTTATTCTGGTAATGTTAAATTTTCATACTCTTGGTTTCATGAAATCAGCCTATTTGGGGATTTTTCACACAAACAACCCCTCCGGACTGCGATCTTTAACAGAGTGAGTAAAAATATACACAGAAGGAGAGATAACCTCATTAGCAAATGGGGCTGACCAAACCGGTTATATACACGCAAAAGATTGAATATAGACCCATGTCTCTCTCCAAACTAAAATCAAAATCAATCAAAGATATAGATATTAAAAGAGAAACATGTAACACTTAATTTCTAATGATACCTGTAATCTAAAATTTAATATAACAAATATTATCAAGAACAAAACTTGGGATGCAAAAGAGAGAAACAATAAACATTCATGCATGAATTTTTTAAGGATTCACAGCAACATGGCTCTGAAAAGATGTCAAATTTCTGGAATCATATTTTGTGACAGAACAATTGGGTGGTGATTAATTTGCTCACAGCCTCCTTTACCTCTTTGTTCCTGAGACTGTAGATGAGCGGGTTCAGCATGGGGATGACCACTGTGTAGAACACGGAGGCGACCTTGATCAGAAGCCATGAGCTCTTGGTGGTGGGAACACAATACAGAGAAATGATGGTGCCGTGGAAAATGGTAATGGCGGTCAGGTGGGAGGCACACGTGGACAAGGCTTTGTAGAGACCCCCGCTAGAAGACATTTTCGTGACAGTGATAAAAATGAAGATATAAGAAGTAAGAACAATTATTAGGCTACTTAGTTCATTGAATGTAGCAAAGATGAAGAGGACCTGCTGGCTTAGGTAGGGGTCGGAGCAGGACACTGCAACAATGGCAGCATGCTCACACACAAAGTTGTTGATGAACTTAATCCCACAAAAGGATAACATCAACAAAAAGTATATGAATGTTAAGGAGCAGACTACAGCCCAAGCATATGAGGCAGCTACCAACGAGGAACACAACCTTGGGGACATCACAACTGTGCAGAGGAGAGGCTGGCACACTGCCACGAATCGGTCATAGGCCATCGCGGCCAGCACGAATGTTTCTGCCACCACGAATATGCAGGCTAAGAAGAACTGTGTGACACAGGCTGTGAAGGAGATGGTTCTGTCTTCCACAATCAGGTTTTCTAAGAGCTTTGGGGTAACCACGCTGGAGTAGCAGAAGTCAACAAAGGACAAGTGACTGAGGAAGAAGTACATGGGGGTGTGGAGCTTGGGGTTGACCCTGATGATCAGGATCATGCCTAGGTTCCCCAGCACGGTGATGGTGTAAATGGCCAAGAACACCAGGAACAGGGGCACCTGGAGGTCAGGGTACTCAGAGAAGCCCAGGAGGATGAAGGTGACTCCAGCTGTCTGATTTGCTTGTGTCCTGTGGAAAAAAAAGAGGGAAGCTCATACAAAGAAGTAAGAACCAATATTTGTAACACAAAAGAGAAAAAACATTGAAAATCTTAGATCTCCATTGAAGAAACTGGAAGAAAACTCTAGTTTCCCTCTTTTAATATTATTTCAAGAGTTAATGTTAATTTCTGTAACATGAATAGAGTGAAAGAGATGTTTTAGTGAGTGGAATAATAACAAAGTCAAGAAAAGAATACACAGAATGTAGCATGATGTATTTGAAAATATAAGACTCAGTATCATTATATTAAACTGGATTCATAGAAGGCCACTGAAATTAATGAAAATTTTTTTGCTTGATAAAATACATAGAATGATTTCTTTTGTTTTAATAGAAAATAATTACCATAAAGTAGAGTTTCAAAACAGGTTAGTATGAGAGTTACAATTACTACATTGGGTATTGTTGTCTTCATAGTAGTTATTCAGACTATAAGATATGGGCATAATATTTTGTCTATACAATATTTGCATAAACCTTTCTTTTCAATGACCTAAGAGAAACTAGCTGCATTACTATCTTAGCTAATCTGTGTCTAAATATTTTTTGCCTTTTTCCTTTCTTTCTTTTCCCCTTCACCACAGTTTGTCTTTTCTTTTGAATAGTTTCTTCTCAATTCATAATATCTATTGTACATTTTGGATCTTATTTACTTATCGTTTGTCACACTAGTGAGACAATACGGTGTTTACACATGCGGGCCTGACTTATTTCACTTGTGATTATGATCTCCAGTTGTATCTATTTACCTACAAAAGTCTCCACTTTATACTTCTTTGTGATGGACCTTCTTTATGGTACTCCATTATAAAAAAGCAACATCTTTTTTTAACCATTCCTCAGTTTATGGGCATTCGGGTTGTTTTTAAGATTTAGCTCTGACATGTTCTTGCTGTAAACTGGATGCACATATATCTCTGTGGTATGATGCTTATAATTCTTCAGGACAGATTCCCAAAAGTGGACTAACTGAGTCAATGTGGACCTCTAATTCTATTTTTTTGAGGAATCTCCATGCTGATTTTCACAGTGCTTGTACCAGTCTACACCCTGAACAACAGTGGAGAGGGTTCCTGCAGCCCCACCAGCATTTGTTATTGGTTGATTTCTTCATGATGACCATTCTTTCTACGGTGAGATGGAAACTGAGTGTTGCTGTAATTTGCATTTCTCAAATGACCAATGATGTTGAACATGTTTTTCATGTATGTATTTGCTATATGTTTTTCTTCGCCTGAGAATTGTGTACTCATCTCAGATGTCCATTTTTAGATTGAGTCTTTGAATTTGGGGGAGGCTGATTTTTTTCAATCCTTCATATGTTCTAGATAAAGTTATTTGTCTGAGGAACAACTGGCTATAAATGTTTCTTGCTCAGTGGGTTGTCTTTTCACTCTGTTAGTGATTTCTTTTGTTATGAAAAGCTTTTTTAATAAAGTGTGATCCCACTTGTTGATTCTTTGTAATAGTTCCCTTGCAAGTCAGAGAATTTTTCATGAAGTCTCTTTAGTGTTTCTATTTTAATATTTAGATCTTTGATCCACTTTGACTTTAGTTTTGTGCATGACAATAGACATGCATCTGGTTTTATTCTTCAGCATGTGGGAAGCCAGTTTTTCCAGCACCATTTATTAAAGAGTCTATCTTTCTTCCAGTGAACATGTTTGGCCCTTTGTCAAAAATAAGGTGGTTGAGTGTGTTTCAGGTTGCATCTGCATCTTCCCTTCTGTTCCACTAAACTTCACTCCTGTTTTTTTGTTTCTTTGTTTTGTTTTGTTTTGTTTTTTGGTCAACACCATGCTGATGTTTTCACAGTAGCTTTGTAGTTACTTTGAAGTCTGGGATTATGATGCCCCTTGACTTTCCTTTGTTCCCCAGCATTGTTTCTGCTATTTGTCTCTTCTAATTCCAAATGCATTTTAGGAATGCTTTCTCCAGGCCTGTGAGGTATGCTAGCTGCATTTTGATTGGGATTGCATTAAATCTACATACCAGATTTCGGAGTATGGCCATTTCCACTATGTTGGTTCTTCCTATCCATAAGCAATGGATATCTTTCTATTTTCTCATAGCTTCTTTGATCTCCTTTTGTGGGTACTGTAATTTTCACTGTAGAGATCTTTTAGATCTCCTTTGTAGAAATCCTTTGTTAGATTGATTCCTAGGTATTTCATTTTTTTGATGCTATTGTGAAATATTTGCTTTCCCTAATTCCTCTCTCTGTGAGTGTGTTGCTTGTGTGAAGGAATGGTATTGATTTTTGAGTACTGACTTTGTATCCCAATACACTGGTGAATTTGGATATTAAATCTGCAAAAATTTTGGTGGAGTTTTTCAGATCTTCTATGTAGAGTATCGTGTCATTGGTAAATAAGGATAATTTGACTTCTTCTTTTGCCTATCTTTATTCCTTTTACTTTTTTGACTTGTCTAACTGCTCTGGCTAATGTTTCCAGAACTGTATTGAATAGGAGTGGTGAGAGTGGACATCCTTGTCCTTCCTGATTTTAGAGTGAAAGCTTTCATCTGTTGGTTTATCATAGATGGTTTTTATCAGATTGAGATAAAGGCCATCTTCCAAATTTCCGTATTTTCTTCTCATGCATGAGTGCACAAATTTTTCAAGTGCTTTCTCTGATCTACTGACGTGATTGAATGATTCTTTTCCTTTGATTCTGTTAATATGGTATATCACATTTATTGATTTGCTTAGGTTGAACCATCCCTGCATCCTTGGGATAAATCCTACTTGGTCATAATATATAAAGTTCTTGATGACTTGCTGCATTCTTTTTTTTTTTTTTTTTTTTTTTTCTCTGGTACTGGGAACCGAACTCACGACCTTGTGCTTGCCAGGCAGGCGCTTTGCTGCTGAGCTAAATCCCCAGCCTGCATTCTTGTTTGAAAAAAAAAATCAACGGACATGAAGAGCCAAGTAAGCACTAATGCAATTTTATTATTGGGGAGGATGTGGATACCCCACTCTCACAAATAGGCAGATCAACAAGTCAAAAAGTCAAGGGGCTGGGGATTTAGCTCAGCAGCAAAAGCGCCTGCCTGGCAAGCGCAAGGTCGTGAGTTTGGATCCCAGTACCGGACAAAAAAACAAAAAAACAAACAAACAAACAAAATACAAAAAATTGTGGTACTTTTATATAATGGAATATTACTCAGCTGTAAAGAAAGATAAACTCGAGGCTTTTTTCGGCAAATGGTCACAACTAGAGACCATACTCAGCGAAATAAATCAAACATACATGTGCAAGCACCGCATTGTTTCTCTAGTGTAAAGCCTGAAAGAGTTAATTTAATCTAGGAGATATGATAGGCATTGAGAATTGATAGGAAAGCACTCATAGGTAAAGGATAACTGGGATATGGGAAAAGAGAAGGGAAAGAAGGAGAAAGTTTGTATATATGTTTATGCAGGATAGTTAACACAGGTGTTCTACTGTCCTGTATTTCCTTGCTGAAAGAAACTGTCAGTGAGGCATTGGTTGATTAGCTTTGTATGTCTATATGTATTTCCATGAGAAACTACATTGAAGATATCAATATGTGATACAATAAGCATTGTTAATTCCCTACCACTCTGTTTGTAACTCTGTAATGTCTGTACTGATCCTATGCTATTTTGTAAAATGTTGTTGGTCTGTTAATATTTTCCTCCTTTTATTTCTAAAATTAAAAAAAACAAGTCGAAAAGTCAACAAAGAAATATTAGAATTAAACCAAGCCTGTGAATAAATGGACTTAATAGATGTCTAAAGAGTGTTCCATCCCAAAACATCAGAATACACATTTTTCTCAGCTCAGATGGGGCATTCTCCAAAATAGATCATATATTAGCTGACAAATCATGTTTAAGTGTATGTAGAGAAATTAAAATCACCCCATGCATACTATCTGACCATACCACAATGAAACTGGAAATCAACAACAAAGGAAATCACAAAACCTACACTAACACGTGGAAGATAAATAACATACTTGGGAGCAACCAATAAGTCACCAAGAAAGTTAACGATGAAGGTAAATAGTAAATACAATTAAATGATAATACTAATACAACATACTGGAACTTATGGGACACAATGAAAGCAGTCTTATGAGGGAAATTTATAGTGATGAACTCACACATCAGGAAAACAGAATGAATTCAAATGAACAACCTAGTGTTGAACCTCAAACTTCTATAAAAAGAAGAACAAATCACACCCAAGCTCATTAGAGGGAGTAAATTAATGAGCTACGAACAGAAATTAATACCGTAGAGACCAAGAAGTCAATACTCAGAATAAGTGAATCAAGAGTTGGTTCTTTAAAGAATAATTTCTATAGTTTCATTTTGGTTCATTTTTTAATCTGTGATAACTAACTTAGAACATTGAAAAGTTGTAAAATGTTATCATCCTTAGCAAATGATGACTGCAACATTTAATTGGTTATTTTGTTTTTCTTTTTCATGTACTTCTATTTCCTAGTATCTTAATATTCAACACAGTCTCTAGTGGTGATTTAGCATATATGGGGCAATTTTACTCAGATTTACCATTTTTTTACTAGAGCAATGTGATACCACTAGTGGGATATTATCCTGGAAATATTTATAACAGAAAATGATGGTTTGGTTCTGCAGTGATAAAATATTTCAAGTAATCATTGATGAAAAGCTCTTTACTTTTCAAAGTGACAAATTCTAGAAGGTCAAAGTTTCAAAGATAAAACAACTATCAAAGATAATAACGATAAAAATAATAGACACTATAAATATCAGAACCCATAGCAAAATGTGTTCTATTTATAATGTTGAATCAAGTTTAAAACTTTGGAAAGTGAAAGAGTTAGAATAGAGCATCACATCAAAGAGATATCATAACATTTCTTGGCTATTCCCTGATTACATTAAATATTTCCTAAAAGGAAAATGAAAATAGTAGTGATATAATATTCAAATTACCATAATGGAGGTAGAAATGTTGCTAATGAATTCAAGTGTTGAAATAAATACTAAGACATATGGTAGACAAAGAGCTCCATACTTAGAATGAGTGTTGCCATTTTGAGAAGTTTATGTAGCTCAGAAAATTAAGCCTAGCAGAGACATATATCTACTCAGGAGACTGTCTGGAAATCTTTCTTCCTGGCATGACAATAATACTGCAAGACTTTATTTTGCATTCCTACTCTAAGACCATAGCTACCTTCTCCCATTCTCCTATAAGTTCTCCCATTTCATTATGTCCTCTGCTAGTTCCCTAACCTCATGCTTGTAGGAAATGTATCTTCCAATAGGACCAATTCCTCAGCATTTCCTCTACATTCATTACTTACGAAGTGTGATTACTACTATGCAAAACTGTGCTAGTATTCCTCAGTCACACCCTGTCAATTTAACATATTTCTTGAAGCATTATAAGATAATTTTCCATAGTTGTTTTGTCTTGAAAGTAGGGATATCAGAGATTCCAAATGATATTTATTAACGAATGCATAAAATCTGTGTTGATCAGCCTGGCTCTCCCAGAGAGTCCCAGACTTAGATATCCGAAGTTCGTCTGCCCTGACATATTTTTCTGCAGTCATGTTGTGGTCACCAAGCCATTACACAAATTATTGCTACTTTCCCACCATATTTTCATTTCCTGTGCATTATTTTACCATCTGTAATTACAAACATTACTCATTATTTTTCTCCTCTGCATATTCACAAATAATAAAGTATATATCTCATAATAATTATTTTTTTTTTTCAGACAGGGTCTTGCTATATTGTTCAGGCTTCCCCTGTACTGAATATATAGCCCAGGCTGGCCTCAAATTTGCTGCAATCCTACTGCCTCAGCCTCATGAGTGCTGGGATTACAGGCATGCACCAGCATGTCCAGCTTCTCATAATTACTATTAACTGTGTTATACAACTTATAAATATGTCAGTTATTATCACTTTACTACTAAAAGATAATAGACAGGTTTCTGTTAACTATTCTATATTGCTAAAGTGCTGATTTCATTTTCAGAAAGTGGAGGAATATGCTTTTTTTGTGGTCCCTGGAATCTAACTCAGGATCTTGCACTTACCGGACAGGAAAAGTACCGTTGAATTACATCCCCATCAAAAGTGGAGGAATCTCAGTGCAAAAAATGGGATGGAATCAAGAGATAAGATCATAACTCTCTGGTAGTAAAAACAAATAGATTTTTGTCAACTAAGCTTCATTCATATGCTTGGCTCCCATGAACATCACTAGCACTCAAAATTTTTCTTCAAAATTTAAATAAAAGGAAAGCTTGTTAAACTCACCTAAAGACAGAAGCATTCAAATGATGCATTTACTGAAGAATTTCTTTGCTAAATTGGAAGAACTCAACAAATGCTCTGGCTTAATATTTAATAGATAGAAAAGGAACTGTCTACCAGCACCCAAGGTATATTTCATTGACTACTTTGCATGTTATAGTTTTTCCAACCTACTAAGAAAACTCAGAAATGAAAGACATAAGACTACACCTAAAACCTAACTCCTGGCACCAGTTTACATTATAAATAATGACAACAACAGTTAAGGACTTGGAAGCTCAACACTATGTATGGCATTGCCTTGGAGGATACAATTGGAGCAATTAAGTGTAAGGCAGTCCCATGTGACATCTTGGGTGTATGTAATCTTTCTAAAGCCTTGGAGAATCTGTATGATCAGCTTTACTCAATCTTAACAATTATTGCATCTTCGTCTCTCAAAGATACAAAACACAGAAATAAATAAGGAAAAATAATGCATTCAAATAGTCCAGGGATTGATACCTAACTTTGTGTTCATTTTGGTTTTTTGACTCTTGTTATGAAGGTGCATTTATGTTACTACACGTGAAAATGTATTCCTGCGTAGATAACAACTTTCCTTACATTTTCCTTTGTGAATCTGGGATATGTTGTGCAGTTTTCTTTCTCATTCAAGTATTGATTTTCTTTTGAGAAATCAATTTGTGTTTGCCTTTCAAATACAGCTAAGTGATGTTTAGATGTCTATATTTTTTTACTGCATGGAGAAAAATACAATTCTATGTTTATATTTAAATTCTTACAAAAATGTCAATTTAGGAAACAAATATTATGCTTATTAAATTTGGTAACTATCTCATCATACCTGGAAAAATGCACATAAGAATATCGCTGTCATCATGAAATGGTGTTGCAGATTAAAAGACATTTCCAAATATTGTGTTCAACAGCTATGCAGCCAAATAATCTTCTACAAGGATCAGAAGAATATGAAGAAAACAATCTCTTCAAACAACAGTGTTGCAAAATTAGATATACACATTCCTAAAACTATTGGTTGAACACATACACACACACGAACACATAAAAACACATAAACACACACACACGCACACACGCATAGGAGCATAGTCTTATTAAAACAGTAAACTTTAGTTATCTTTTGACCCTCTGAGCTCTTTGCTTTGGAACTTTTGAACTCTGCAAAAGACAAACATGTTTTCTGAACTAGTTCACTTTTGCCTCAGCAAAGTGGCTTACACTGGCCAATACAATGCTAACCATGACATAGAAGTACACTTAAGCTAACTTTTCATTTTGTACAACTTCTATTTCTGATCTCTTTATCAGAAGAAAATACTTTTTCTGACTTACTGATTCAAGGAAGACTTAGATACAGAAAGCAAAGGTAGAAAAACACTTTTAACTACAGAGGGGAGATGAGTTCACCAATCAGAGGTGACCCAATAATTTTAGTCAAAATGCTCAGATGGCTTATCAGTGGGGCTGCATAACCAATCAGTGAAAAATAAAACTATATTTTCTAATATTATGAACTTGTAAAATTCACATCATTTTTGTGCATCAGTATATAACATAACAGAATCCAGCATTGGCATAAATGATAAATTTAAATTTAGAACTGTCTGTGTTTTTTATTTTAAAGAGAAAAAAACAATAAAATAACAACAAAGACAAAAACAAAACAAAAGAAAATCAATAAAAATTATACCAAAGTATAAAAAAGTGATACCGGATTTCAAAACAAGATGATAAGATTTAACAATGATTGTTATATCACACATTATCATGTTCAACAAAGCTATTAAGATTACCAGGTTTAAGAATGTGAGATTTTAAAAAAAGAAAAAATAAGAATGTGGGATTGATTTAATAAATAAAAAGAATAAAATGCTATTGCAAAGAACTTTAGAAACTATACAGAGCTTCACTAAATAAGATGGCAGAAATTTAGTTATGCTTGTTAAATTGCATTCCATTGTTTTCAAATTTATAATACATTGAATGTAGTGATTAATTTCAATTTATGTCAAAATGTTATTGAATAAAAGAATATAATACCTTTCATGAACTTGAGATATGCTTTAAGTACTTAGATTAAACTACAGCTCCCTATGCAAGAGAAAATAAACATTTGTGTTATATTTTCTATCTGATATTTGACCAGCTATCAGGTTACTGTATTGTTTTTGATATATGTCCACTGTGATGAGGTATAAGAATGGATTATAAATAGAGCTAAATAAAAGACCAAATACAGGACACAGGAAGGAAGATCTCTAGCAAATGAAAAGAGGACTAACAGACGGAGCAAGGAGAAAGACAGAGTAGGTAAAAAAATGAAAAAAATAATAAGATGGTTACATACATATACCAACTCTCCATGATGCATATTATCATGAGGTACTGTAAATTTGTAGTAATAAAAGTTTTTTTAACAATCAAAAATGTTCCCACAGGAAGAAAAGGGAAAGAAAGAAAGAAAGAAAGAAAGAAAGAAAGAAAGAAAGAAAGAAAGAAAGAAGAAAGGAAGAAGGAAGGAAAAGAAAGAAAAGAAAAGAAAAGAAAAGAAAAGAAAAGAAAGAAAGAAAGAAAGAAAAGAAAAGAAAAGAAGGAAGGAAGGAAGAAAGGAAGAAGGAAGGAAAAGAAAGAAAAGAAAAGAAAAGAAAAGAAAAGAAAGAAAGAAAGAAAGAAAGAAAAAGAAAGAAAGAAAGAAACAAAAAGAAAGAAAGAAAGAAAGAAAGAAAGAAAGAAAGAAAGAAAGAAAAGAAGGAAGGAAGGAAGAAAGGAAGAAGGAAGGAAAAGAAAGAAAAGAAAAGAAAGAAAGAGAAAGAAAGAAAGAAAGAAAAAGGAAGAAAGAAAGAAAGAAAGAAAGAAAGAAAGAAAGAAAGAAAGAAAGAAAAAGAAAGAAAGAAAGAAAGAAAGAAAGAAAGAAAGAAAGAAAGAAAGAAAGAAAAAGAAATGAAGGAAGGAAGGAAGGAAGAAAGGAAGGAAGGAAGGAAGGAAGGAAGGAAGGAAGAAAGAAAGAAAGAAAGAAAGAAAGAAAGAAAGAAAGAAAGAAAGAAAGAAAGAAAGAAAAGAAAAGATACACAAAGAAAGAACAAGGGAAAGAATGAAGACAGACAAGCACAAACCTGAGAATCACTGGTACACTACTGTCCATAAACTTGGGATTGAATTTGGGTTTCACTGCTTCTTTTGGCGGAGGCATTTACCTAGGGCCATCTTTCTTTTGGGACCCCAGTGAATGAAGCGCATTGCTTTAGTCACCAGATCTCCACAGGCATCCCTGGCCTGGGACAGTGTGTGCTCCCTGCTTGGTATCCCTGTTTGAGGCAGCCTTCAGGAACACGGGCTATGTGGCCGTGTATCCTGCGGAGTGACACAAGGAGATTCCCGTGATCCTGTTATCTTACTAAACTGTCATGAAGAAGGTGGAGAGAAGAATATCAAAGAAGGAAATGACCTTCTTACCACACCAACTAGGGTGTGACAGCCCTATTCTCTCAGTAGTGGGAGTCCCATTCATCCTTTGCTTACTGCAGCATTTACCCGGATTCTCCACTACACACTTGGATGTGAAATTTAAAAGGCAGTTATTATAAACTATCCCTCACTTCTTTGTTTTTTTCTCAGTTTTCAAATGGTTGAAGGCCAGTTTTCCATTTGGTGGTATAAGGTTTATTATTTCAGTACTTCAAGTGTAAAAGCAATTAATGGGATAAACAGGTGACATAATTGTTTTTACTGCCTCAGGAGGAAAAGCATCCATCACAATGATATGAGGGACTATGTTATGACTAACTACATATTTCTCTGCCCTCTGAGGAAATTGCAAGAATTCCCTGATGTCTATATCTCCATAGACCAGGAGATGTATACTAATACCCAGAATTTGGCAGAGTAAGACTGTAGATTCAGCTTTCAGAGCTTTCTGCATAAGCCTTAAGATTTTGTCAGTCCAGGAAATAAAATGCCACTCTGGGGGCACGCACATTGAATTCACTTCTGCTTTGATTGCAAATCTTATGCACATTGCTATCATAAATAAGGTTGTAGATAGGGAAGTAAAAGCAGTCAGGATGTAGATTGCTATGAACCATAAGGCCTGATGGTTGTTAACCTAAGAAGACTTCTCAATCAAGGAATCAAGAGCTTCCGGTTCCAGGTCAGTTCATTTATCTTTCAAAATCTTTCATCTCAGCTGGGAAACATTGCATTCAGTTTATCTAGAATAATCTCAAGATGAAATAGTTCTCTTTTATGCTCAGGAATAACTTGATCTGTAGTCATACAAACAGGAGAGTTTCTCAATATTAATTTTCTGTGTTACACCAAGAAGGGGCAACGGAAAGAAGTCAGAGCAAATTTAAGGAGGTTCTGGGGAATTCTGAGCCCTTTTAGACCTGCTTTCATTTGAGTACAGGTCTCATTCTACCTCATTTGTGTTTATAAAATTCTTTGTAAATTGGTAAACCTTATCCTGATTTTTTAAGAGTAACTTGCATTATTGACCTAATAACTGTTCCAAGGAGACAGAAGATCGATGTTAGATATTCCTGGTGAGTTAGAATGTTTATTAAAATAGAGTGAAGAATAATGAGTGTTTTAAATATTCCACCAGCATATGTACTATTGGAAAGCAGGTGCTCCCATTGGCTGTGCTCTCCCTGAATTTGTTTGTGGTTTTTGCATTGTCATGACCTCACAGGGCTGAGTCCATAGGCTGGTACTTGTGCAAGGTAAAGATGCAGATCCAAAAAATCAGGGATGCACTTCCCCTACAGCCTCAAGTCTATATCTTTTTTCACTCTTCTTTTTTTTTTTTTTTTATTTTTTTTTTTATTTTTTTTTCACTCTTCTTTTACATCCTGACTGCTTTTACTTCCCTATCTACTTTGACACTATATCATCATAAATGAGAGACTATTTCTTATTGGTTATGCAAAAGTAATTGAAAAATCATAACAAATTAATAACAGTTGAGAGAAATGTTAATGAAAGACCTATAGAAAATATCCCAGGAGACAGTGTGGGAATCAATACAGACACAAATGCACTTACGTGAGTATCTCAGATGAAATTCTGCAACAATTGCTAAAGTGTTAGATAGAAGATAGACTAGATACACTTTCATCCTTTTCTTAAACTCTCAAATTCTATGATCATTTAATTCTTCATCATACCGAGAAAATGTGAAAAACGCAAAAGTGTAAATACTGATATTTATATTTCACCAATTGAAATGTCAAGTCACTTTTATGATGCTGATGTAATTCTTTGGAAACTAACAGGTCCTCTGTGTTTCTCTTCTGTTCTTTTTCTTCCATTTTTACTAATTACTTTCTAACTTAAAAATATATATCAGTCCTATGTTAATTATTCTAACATGATCTGACTTTTAAGAGAATGATCAATATCTATTGTTACAATGATATTCTGACAGTTTAGTAAGCATCAAAATAAGCTTGAGTCTTGATGAATCACAGACTGTGGGTCTAATTCTAGAATTTTTGATTCACACTGAAAACAGGACCTGGAGAACTTGCAGTACTGACAAATTCCAGAGAAGCCACTGCTGGAGGAAGGGGAGACACGTAGAGGAGGAGCAGCTCTATATTACTCTGTAAACAAACATATGCCAGTGTTTCCTGTTGTTTCTTTAAGTTCCATCTGCTTTCCAAGTAAAACTATTTTTCTAATCCAACAGGGATCACAATGTCACCTGTAAGAAATCAAAGCAGCATGCCGACTTTTATTCTCCTGGGATTTTCAGAATATCCACAACTTCAGGGTCCATTTTTTCTGATTTTCTTCTCCATTTACACAGTTACTGTGGTGGGAAATTTGGGCATGATTATAATCATTAAGATCAATCCCAAATTCCACACCATCATGTATTTTTTCCTTCACCACTTGTCCTTTGTAGATTTCTGTTTTTCTAGTGTAGTAACACCCAAACTGTTGGAGAACTTGGTTGTGGAGGAGAGAACCATTTCTTTCACTGGTTGTATGACGGAGTTTTCTTCTGCGTGCATTTTTGGAGTAGCACAAACCTTTCTGATAACCGCCATGGCTTATGACTGTTTTGTGGCCATTTGTAAGCCACTGCTGTACGCCGCTACAGTGTCTCAGAAGCTGTGTACCCTTCTGGTGGCCGGCTCCTATCTGTGGGGCTCACTGTGCTCGCTGATGCTGACATGTTTTCTTCTTTCACTATCTTAGCGTGAATCTAGCATCCTAAACAACTTCATGTGTGACCACTCAGCAATCGTTGCCGCCTCCTGCTCAGACCCTGATATCAGCCAGATGCTGTGCTTCATCACTGCTGCACTCAACGAGGCTGGCAGCCTGGTGACCATGCTCATGTCCTACACACTCATTTTCATCACTATTATGAGGATGGCTTCAGCGAGAGGGCGCTGGAAAACCTTCTCCACCTGCGCCTCCCACCTGACGGCCATCACCATCTTCCACGGGACTATCCTGCTCCTCTACTGTGCTCCTGATGCTACAGCGTCCTGGCTCACAGTTAAAGTGGGCTCAGTGCTCTACACGGTGGTGATTCCCATGCTGAACCCATTGATCTACAGTCTGAGGAACCGGGATGTCAAAGACACCTTCAGAAAATTTCTTTTCTCTCAAAATCTCTTCGGCATGTGACCCAATATCTTAGATTTACTATGTAATATCTAAAAAGAAAGATTTACTGTGGTGCATACATCTCAAAGACCTGTCACAGTGCAACTCATGATTCAAACAATTGGATCCATAGACATGTCATTAGCATATGTATCAGACCACATTTATGCTAATTGAGTGATGCATATTAATTGAGAAATACAGCTTTAAAACACATGTGACAAAAAATTTTTATGACCTTCAATTTTGAACAGTTTTTTGTCATATCTGTAGATTATTTTAAATACTTTCTAATGTGTTCTTTGCTAACACTGTGGTCAGGATTCCCATACTTTTGAGATGATTTTAAAAAGTGCTTCTTCTTACTGCATCTGTACGGTAACTGGTCCTTCAGTGCTCTTTTGTGGAATGCTAAACTTTACTATTAATCATGAGGTCTGTAGCCTACCATCTAGGAAAACACTTTGGTTTACCATGCACTAATACATGTCATATTTTATCTCAAATACTTGAGTACACAAAGAAGTGGAGCATCAGAGTAATAGAGTCCCAAAATGGTATCACATATGACTTCTCACGTAAATTCTAACAAACTGTGCAGTATACTTCACTTGGGAAGGGATTATTTTTAAGTGCCAATACAAAAGTCTGTCTATCCATATTGATAAAGGTCTTAACTTTTCCCGTGCAATATGTGCAATTTTAACTTTGATTAAATGAAGTGTATTATAGATATAGCCATGGATATCAAAAGTATAGATGTCTATCCTAAAATATAAGGAGAATCTTTCCAAGTGTTGTATATGCACTTATTTACTAACTCTTAAAATACAAAATAATAGGTCACCAAAAAACCTACAAAACACATTTCATGAACATTGAAAACTGGTGTTAAATGGTTGCAGTGAAAATCTAGACTACAGATTATGAGTAAATATTGGCAATATAAATGCCTGACAAAGGCTGTGTGTGTAGAACATATAAGAACCTGTGCAATTAAAGAAGACAAGTGATTGACCTACTCAAAGAATGGCTGAAATACATTAACAAATGCTCCAGAAGTGAATGTACACAAATCCTTGAGAAATGCATTTAGATGCCAAGTATTCATAAAATTCTTATCAAAACTACAGTACCATCACACCTGCAGGGCTCAAATACCAAGTATTCTAATAGTTTAAATAAATACCATATGAAATACTAAGGGTTAGTGAGAAGATGGAGCACATGAAATACTCATACATTTCAAAAGACAGTAAAAAGTGAAAGGACTCTTAAAGTAGTTTAACCATCTCATGAACTTCCAAAAAGTCTTCCTGTAAAACTCAACAATTCCATTTTGTTCAGATATTTACTAATCAGAGAGAAAATCAGATAATTTAGGAAAAAACTCTTCTCTATAATATGTGCAGTAGTATAGGGAACGTTAGCAAATAAGGAAAATGGTGTATTGGGAGATCTTGGCGACACTTTGAGCTCATTTCTTTCAAAAGTGCTTTTTTTTTCCCAAAATAAATTCTATTCTGATAGAAGATAGAAATCTGATAAAGAATAGAAATCTGTCAGGAA